ATCTTCCAGGAGGTTATTTCCCCCTACGAAAAACACTGCTCTAGACAAAGATATCCATACATGATTCTCGTAAGGATCCTGTGAAACAAATATTCATTCATCTTCTTTTCTCATTTTAGTCACTAGAGATCAAGTTACAAGAATGGTGATTGCGAGAGCATTTCAGACTGCGACTTGAACTTTAATGTTGCAATGATTGCATGAAATTGATAATTATTGATTAGAGAATCATGAATTAGTGGTAGCAAATATACTGCAATAGGGCGATGATCATAAATAAGACTGTTAACCTTACTTGTCCGTACAGTTCAAGTGTTGTTGATCGCACCTAATCAGCTTTGGTCCTATCACTGACTATTGCCTGATGATAAGTGTCACAAACAGTGCACTTGAAAAGCAAACCCATCATGAACCTTGATTAGGAAGCTTGTAAATGCTAGAGCAAGCATTGTTCATTTGAAACTTGAAAATTGAACTCTTAGATGTCAATCGATCGACTGAACATCAATAAGTACATCTATTCATCTTCTGCTGTTATTACTAGTTTGTACCTTTTATCAGTATAAAACGCGGAAGTCATACATCACAATACCAAATAAACAAGAATGATGAGCATAACTTGTTAACAACTATCAAGATTGTTCCTTATAAAGTATGATATTTGAGAATGAAATGCCATCAAAAGATAGTACGCCGATTGCTAATTATTCTCGAATTGCTAATTACTTCATTAATTGCAATAAGCTACAATTAATGAAATGCATAAAAAATGACGTTAAATGACATTAAAATGACATTGAAAATGACATTAAATGTACTTCCTCTTCAGTTTTGGTTGATTGCATATAATGACGATTTTAAATTTGTGTGGATATATTATTTCAGCACTGGTGAAATTCGTGGCAAATACGTGAAAACATCTGGAAATGTTGAGGGCTATCAATTTTTGGGTATACCATATGCAGAAGCTCCAATCGGCGAGTTACGATATCGAGATCCTCAGCCTAAACGAAAGTGGAGTGGAACGTTGGATGCGACTGACTTTAGAGAATCCTGTTTCTGGAACTCATCGTCAGTTTTTGAATTTTTATTGGATTTATACTGCTTCAGAACACTGCTGATTTGCCGAATACTTTTGCAATGCGACCAGTTTTCTTCACTAAAATGATCTCTTGATTGTGAACTGACACAAACCAAAGAGTGGAGGAAATTGATCGCCAAAAAATATTTCCATTAATCAATTTCTGTTCGGTAACTGTTCGACACCTTTTATCCACTTCTTAAGTAAGCAGCCGTTTTGCTCTGATCGCAGTTTCCCTCTTAAGTCATATGGAATCGAATTCCGATGAACTGATAGTTTTGGTAACCAAATTAAAAATTAATGTTTTTCCGACTACTTCAACAATCAAATTATGCAGTGATTGAAGCAGTTCAACCAACTGCTGCAATCAAGATTAAGTTAAATCATTGTGAAACAATCAAAAATCACTATTTATCACAAAGAAGTTTCACTCTCACCTTAAACAACTCTCAGAACGACATCGAACGATCCGAACAAAACGCCGATGTCAGAAGATTGTCTCTTCATCAACGTACTTACAAGTCCAAAGTGCTTACGGCATGGCAATTGCTCTGTATTAGTTTACATCCACGGTGGAGGTTTTGATTACGATACGCCATCATTATATCCACCTCATTTCTTGGTGAGTTATTATTTTCTGAATGCTTTGGGAAAATTTGCAACGTGATTGCTATTGCAAAATCAAAGTTTCCATATCGAAATTCAACAACTGAATATGAATTTTCAGATCGAAAACTTCCTCACAGAGGATCGTTCTGTTCTTTTTGTTATGCCAGCTTACCGACTTGGTTCTTTCGGTTTCTTAAACCTGAGCCCAGATGCGCCATCATCCGCTGTCCGAAACGTCGCCTTTAAAGGTAATCGAAAACCATTGATTGTATCGGAAAGATCTGATTGAGTGAATCATTCTAGGCTTAATTTTGTCTATTGACTGTTTGGAAACGAAGGCAAGAGCAATACTGGAAAGATATCCAAATAATTCTTTGTCCATAGTTCGAAACACTGATCACTAAAAAATCGCGAATGACACAAACAATTTGCGTAGAATGTGAAAAAATGAAATGTCAGTGGACAGGGAAAAAGAGTTCCAGATTTGATAGAAGCCTTGCGATGGGTTCAAAGGGAAATCGCAAAATTCGGTGGCAGTCCGGACAAGGTGACCATTATGGGGCATAGCAGCGGAGCAACAACCGTGAATCTTGTAAGTGAAATCGAACGGAAAATTCTCTCGCTATTGATTGAAACTGATCAATTTAATCGATAGTCAAAACATTCAGTAATCGAAAATAATGATCATAAACTTTAGGTGCATTGGTTCACTCAAAAGTCCACCAATATTTAAACATTACCACAATAAGCCAAAAAACCAGTTTATTTCAAAAGCTGAAGAATTTCCGAGATCTATCATAATTTTCACAATTCCTCACTATCACAATCTATCACAAATATTCCTCACGTTGAAACATTAATGACACCAATGATGTCTCTCCAATATTTGCTGAATTAAACATACAAAGTCATTTTCAGTTCACAATGTCTCCGTTAACGAAGGGGTTATTTTCAAAAGCGATCGTAATGAGTGGAGAAGGCCTGAAACCGCTGCCTTATGGTCAGTGACTATGACCAACNTTCATACACCTTTCCGAGATGGAATTTCAACTCAGTTCTACTCGAAATCTTTATCTTATTTCAGATACTAATCGCATGGCAAGTGTACAATTGGCTGCATCAGTTGGTTGTGCTCATTGGAACACCAATTTCAATGATTTAAAGCAAACTGAAAAGGTGTTGAAGTGTTTGAGGGGAGTTGATGCGAAAAGGTTGATCGTACAACAGAGACGTCTAGAGGATCAAGGAGTTGCTTTTAGTGGGCCATGCATCGATGGACCTCATGGAGTGAGTTTATCTTTTACTGTATTTGTTTGCAACAACTTCAGTGCAGATTCATTCGCTGATGCCAAATGATCAGTTTTAGTGAGATATTTAAGAACCAATCGTCCGGATTCACTATTGAAGTGGTTTTCTACCTTTTTTTTGCTCTTCGCACCCTCCAAAAAAAGTTTAAGTTGCCTTCGCACTCTCTGCAACAATGGTCAATTTAGGAATGAAACACGAGCGAAAGAACTATTTTTAAAGCATTGTCTGCTTTACAATCATGTA